TGGCAAGTACAAACCTTGAGGCACTCTAGGGAATTGAATTTCCCTCGATAAAGCAAGACTGCTGTGCTCTAAGTGCAGGTTTGAACATCCTTCATAGATCCCAGACTTCCATTAGGCCTTGATATTTCATTTATTGTAACTGCTGAGAAAAAATACAACCAAAGGGAAAAGGTCAAATTTTTGTTTCCTGTGAGTTATTGGGAGGAATTAAATACAACTGTAACAGCGGCATCTTCACAGCAAAACAATATAAAATCTTGAATGACCGTGAGAGAGAGAGAGAACCATTTCTGTTACATTAAATGGCTGAAATACTGAATTCATTTCAACTCCAAACTACTTGAAGACTTTAATGAAGGGGGAAGGAAGCCGAATTACTCGGGATTTACAAATGCACATAGACTTGCCCAAGATCAGGGCTTGGCCCATGTGCCAATGTCCTCTTGTCATTCCAGGTGTCCTCTGTTGTAGTTCACTGCTTGTCTACAAGACCAGCCTTTTTTCTTGTAGACCAGTCTTTCTCATTTACTCTCTCACAGTGCAGTCTCCCAAGGTAATCGGGAACTATCCTAATTAAGTTCTGATAATTTGAAGAAAAAGGGCCATTATATACCTTGGATGGGAAGTACTATACAAGGGTCGATTATTATAATGATGATTATTATTAAGCATTTCAGACTGTCTATCTGCTCTATTGACAACCTATTTGCAATGATTATTTTGATATGAATATTCATAAGGACCATAGAGATATAAAGTACGATACTTGGCAACATTTATGCAATTAAATACATATTTAAATTCTGCTGGTGGCAGTGGAAATTAAAATCTTAAGACTGATTAGAAGATGGTTAGGCTCTATTAATCTCCACCATCTATACATCTATCCCTGTAGCTATCTGTCCTCTTTAGATGTTTCAAAGGTGTTCATCTGTGCCCTTGAATTACAGAATAATTTTAACTCTTTTATCATAGTGTAGAATGTCGCAACTTCTTTAAAAATGAATATGTATTAGTATTATTTACATAAATATCTGCATTGATATCTTAATCTCTGAAATGTAGAAGTGCCATTTTTCATGCAGTCATAAAATTCAGTAGCTTTTCAGTGTGAAGAAAAGTATCCCATTTGAACAAACTAAAGAGAGTAAGGAGAGATAAGCCCTATGCTTGTTTGATGGATAAAAATTTCATTTAAATAAGATCAATAATCATGCCAAAAGTTAGGTTTCTCTAAAGTTACATATTGTCTATTTGGAGCATTCAGCTTTTTCAGCCTTTGGGCAGTTTTTTACAACTGGTCTTTTACTACGCTGTGTAAAACGTAATGAAAAACTAACTTCGGTTTCATGATTGCCTGCTGCTATCACGAAGAAAATAAAATCAGGGTCCTTGCTCTGCTTCTGAGTCTTTCTCACTTTCATCTATTTCAGAGAAAAGGGAGATTTGCAGTAGGAGTTTTGCCCAAATGAAATACTGCATTTGTTGAGTTTTTGTTTGTTTTACAGCCATTGCAGGAAAGAAAGAAAGACAGTGGTAAAAGCTGGCTTAAAATGTTCCTGTTTATTGTATTTGAACAGACAATTCTACTGTATTCAGTTGAAGTATCCTTCAGAGTGCCTGTTCACCCTCCGTACAGCCCTGAGAGTCCATTTATTTCACACATCAATTATGCACTTGACATTTTAACACTATGTCTCTGATTTTAATGGGCTTTAGGAGCTGCATTCTGATTAGAGGGAAATGTTTCATTCAGAAAAAGAGACACCGGTCACATTAAGAACAGAAACATAAATTGCAAAATGTTAAAATTAATGTAACGGGAACCCAAGAAAATGGTAAAATACCTGTAGAATTTCCATCTCCTAAGCTGTTTTCCTGTGTAAGTCCAGAAAATACACTGCTGCTGTGATACTGAAATCTTTTTTTGGATCTGCACCATTAAGAATAGGATTTCCCTCATGGTTATTACATGCCACAGTATTTAGCATTGTTTCAAGGATAATACAGTGGAATTGGAATGGGTCTGAAATCACTACAGATGTTCTGAGTTGAGGAAATTCCCAGGTGGTAATTTGATGTTTTCAGCTTTCCTCGTTGTAAGATCTGTCTTGTTTGAATGTCAGCTGCATGTGGCTGATGTTTGAAATCATCTTTCTAGGTCTTGCCTCTAAGAGAGCTGTGCTGGTTTTTTATTTCTTTTAGTAAGATATTTCCTACGAATAGTAATTAGTCCAAAGCAGGGATTTTTTGAGTGCTATTTAAGTTGCCTCAGTCACAAATGACCTACAAGTCATTTTACAAGGAATTTGCTGGTATTTTGTTAGCAGCAGCAAAATGTTCAAAACCATTTGTATTAATGGAACTTAATAACTGGACTTTCACCCTTTTTATTAATTGAGTGTTTAGACTTCACACAGGGTTCCTAACTTTGCAGAAACTAGGGAAGAGAATGATAAAAGCAATTTTAATTGGTTGCTATCTGAGAATAAGGAAAATACAAATGTATGCAAAAAAGCTTCAGAGAAATAGGAAAAGTCAGATTTTATCCTATTCTTATTTCTTCAGGAGGTGCTTTAGCTACTTTAGGAAGCTTTTGAGATTAAAGATTTTTCAGCCCATATGAGCATCGGTATTAGGAATATTTAGCTCCTGTTAAAAAAGATAGAGTTTTTCCCAGAAAAACGAGAGATGAAAAGCAATCCATCCGATTTCTAGGCCAAGTCCAGCCAAGTATTTTCTCATTGTCTTTAATAATAAAAACAGAGTGTATGCAAATTTAATTTTAAGTGAACCCAGTTTGCACTTGCAAGTGAGCAAAAATTCATCCCTTTGGGAAGTCTGTCACTAAACTCAATGGCATAAGCCTGCAAGTCTGATATATATGTATCACTGTCACTCTGAGCAGAAGGGAATGAGTTTACAGAGAATAATTCCATTTAACCTCTGTGCATGTGCCATCCCTTATTTAAGATTTTTGGCATATTCCTCTCAAAGCGTCCATAGAAAATGAGAATCCATTACCATTTCAATCCAGGGAAATTATGACAAGATTTTTAAGAGTGTCTCCTGCTAGACTGGAATTCGTAATGCTGTGTTTGACTGAGTCTACATAGTAATACCAGTGCTGCACTGGGCCTGGATTAAGGCTTTATACCTTGACCAGGTAGTCTTCCAACAGATACTTGTGAACCTCTCTGCAAATAAAGTATTTGGCAGAGGAAGGACACCAGGACTTGCATCAGAGAGTCTAATTCTTACCTCCCCATATGGATGGGAAGATGGAGAGCAAAGCTCTAGTCTGAAATGTTCTCATTAAGAGGCTGCTTAGGAAACAGACCCCCATCACTTGCAATCAGTCAGTGCACCTAGCTCCAGCTAGGAGCTGCCTGGGTGAGTGATCCCAGCACTTCGGAAGGCAAAGTGTATTGGGCTTGTTTTCTCATAATTTAAATTAATGTGTTTGGCTGAGGCCTAATACAGACGAGGAGTGCCCAGACAGTCAGTTATCAGCTCTCAGATGAAAACATGTTTGAGGATTGTTTCAGATGTGTTGGCATCTCAGTGCACATGGTGTTAATTTATTGTACTGCCCAGGGAGTTGGGACAGAAGAGCTGCATATAATGTCCATATATTGCTGCCTTGCTGCCTATCCGTATCTCTAAAGCAAAGGACCAGAAGGGTATAGAGGCTTGTCAGTGTTACAGTTTCCAACCAAAAGAGAATTGTCTCAGAAGAGAACCATTTCTGATGTGAAATATATACTTTTTTTTTTCCTGCTAGAATTATGAATGAATATGAGAAGTTTTATGGTGTTGCTGTTTAATGTACTTAAATTCTGATATGACAGACTATACTGTCACTACAGCAAGTAAATTAAATCGTCATCAAAATGTTATGCAGAGCCCCTGGGCTAGGCTATGTAGGACATAGTGCATAAATTGTGCCACTTAGCCCAAAGCACTATAAATCATATACACTTCTAGCTACAATTTCCTCCATATTTTTCCTAGCTCCAGTGTGCAAATATGCAAAATGAGCAGAAAGTTTCTGGTTTATGCAGTGCTGGCCTCAAGACTCAAACCAGCATGTGATTCACTTAGAATTCACAGGGATTTTTACCAATAATTTTCTAGTTCATTCCAATGGCTGTTTAATTTCTGAGTATTTAAGATTCAGATCAGATTTTCAATGCTTAAAATGCATTGAAATGAAAGCTTCAGTTTTCTAAAATTCATTTGCAGGAACAGGATCCTCAAGGAAAATAGTTTACTAGGTCTCATAGTCTGAGAGCAGTGGCTGGGAGAAGGTCCAATGTTAGAGGTAAAACAGGACATGTGCTGCACCATCCAAACCTCTGTTCTTCTCCTCCGTACCTGATCCATATGGCTCAAAAGCAGGAACTGCTGTTTGTTGTATATCTGCAATGTGGTGTTAGCTTAGGCTTCCAAATAATGTTTATATTCTTTTGCAAGTTGCACGATAAGCATATAGATTAAATGTTATCTAGGGCTATATATATAAATATTGGGGAAGTCTTGGTGGCTGTGAATTCATAGGGTCACATATTGATCTTTTGACTGACTTACTTATATACCGTCTTACTGAGTAAATGCCACCGTGGGAGTTCAGGAAGTAAACTACTATAGTAGTAAGGGTGTCTGGATATCAACTGTCAATTGGAAATATGTTGTTAAACCCTTCTTTTCCTTATTTTTTTTTCCCCCAGAGAAGGAATGCTGAGTTGTAATAAAATACTAAGTTTCTTAAAAAAAAAAAGGTAGGGCAAATCCCTGCCTCTTCCTGCAAAATAAATACTAACTATAAAAAAAACCCACCTTTTAATGGACTTCTTTAATGAAAGAAACTTTTGTCTGGAAGAAAACTGTGATGCCATTAATATGTTCAGATATTCAAACAGAGCAGATTTTTTCTGCTAAATCTACGTAATTATTGTCCCTTGTGAAACATCTACTTGACATTACATTTGCAATAATAAACATTAAGTCTACATTTGATTTATATTGAACTGATAGTCAGAAACTGTAGCAAGGTGCTGTGCCTGGAGGTTTGCAGGCAGAAGTAAAAATACAGCACACATGCAGGGGAAAGAAAAGATTAAAATATTCATGTTGAAATTTACTTTCTTACAGTTTTCAGCTCCAAAGGCTGTTCAGTACTTCCTGTGCTGCTTCACTGGTGATGAGCTAAGCTATTGTGGCCATGGCTGCAGAATTAAGACACAGACAGTGTTGAGATTACTATGATTTCTGTAACTGGTAAATCATGATAATCTGGGGGGTCAGTACAGCCTTAGTCAGAATGAAGAGCGTTGGATAACAGGTGAACAAATTTATATGCATTTAAAATGCAGGATGTGATGCTGCATGTCTGTACTGATAGTTGGGGTATTTTATTTGTTTATGAAGTGCTTAGGGGTCTGTTTCAGTAGACCGCAGCACTACCAGATTCTGTCTGCAGTTGAGTGCAAACATCTTACTGATGATGTGACAGTTTTTTCTGATGGAAGAACTGGAAGTCAATGGGAAGGGAGTGTTTTGAAGACAGAAATTGGTCTATAATTCATTAACTGATAACTGTCCAATTATTAGAACATAGTGAAGGAGAGAAATGGCTCTGTGTTTGATCACTTCATGTAGTCACACAATTTCCAAATGCATGTTTCTTTCCCTGAATGGCTCTAAAGCTGACAAAGACATGCTTTGTTTCTGTCTTGTAGCAGGAATTATTCCTCTAAATAATATTTTGAAGAAACCAATATTCCACAGAATTACCAAATTTTCAGTGTATTCAGATTGCTCAGTGGCTGTTGCCAAGCACTCTCCTGAGTGGTTCCAAAGGATAAACTGAGAAAAGTAATTTAATTGTATAGTAAATATGAACAGTTTAATTTAGTGAGCACTTAGCATTTTAAGGTATGTCTGTGTAGTCCTGCTGTTTTAAGAGGAATACTCAGAAGTTAAAGCTGTATGCATCTCCTCTCTTGTTGCATTGTAGCCTGAAGAAAAAATGGATAAAAGCTTTTATCCCTTGATGCTACAGCTAACTAAAAATTTGAAAAAGGCTGACTTCTCAAAAACCCGAGCCCTAAAAAAAAAGCATTTTAAAAAAACCCCCAAACCTGTCTGGTCAAAACCAACCACCAAGATTCCAAGATTAAAACTTAAGTAAAGCAACGAATACAAAAAAGAAGCAATAAATAGCCCAAATCTACGACTGTTGTCAGTTGTCTCTTTCATTTATGACTTCTTGTGGATCTGCTCTGATGGTCAGTTATTTCTGCTGCTTGGTAAAAAGTTGGGACATTTTGAATGGTATCTTTTATGTGTCAGGGTGTGTTTAAAGTGACTCAGTCATATCGGAATGATCAGAGTATCTAATATTTAGGACTGTTTCAAGAGACATTGTAGCTTCCATGTGCAAGCAGTTTCATATAATCAATGTTGTGTGAGGTATTGAAGAAAATGTAATTCAGGTGGTCAGACTTCAAAGACCAGTTGTGTGTGTTCCTTACACAGAGACAGGCTCCTGCTGAGTTAAGCTCCTGCTCTGACACATTGTCTGTAGAGTCCAGAGAGTTAAGCTTTCTAAAATTCAATTTGTGCTTAAAAATAGGTGGTAGAAACATTATTGTGGTTTAGATAACAACAAGCAGGCCAAGCTTGCTAAATAATAATTCACCTGAACACTGAAGTGACTCAAAACCTAACTGGCTTTTCAAAGCTTGGTTCTTCGATGAACTGAACACCTTACAGGATCATCACAGGGAGAAGATACGTGTCTTATGTTCCAGTACACTAAGTTTATGCTTGGACACATGCAAGTTCTTTTAGGTAGAAGATCAGATGTGGTTGGGCCTGCAAAGGCAATTTTAAATTTAAATATAAAATACAGATTGCTTTGTTAAACTTCGAATTTATGACCAAGTGTTAGGCTGGTGTGCTAGTACCCAGGTGGCTTGAGCTGAGTTTTTCTTATATGAAAATTCAAAGGCAGAGATTGCCTGACTGCTTTGCTATTGATATCCCTTGTCTTCTCTCAATGGGATGTTTATTCGAGATATAGAGAAAGCTGAACCTTTTTTTGTCTCCTGATGCTGTTTTCTTGAGTCAGGTTTTGATGCTCTTAATTAGACACTGTCACTTTGTATTAGAGATGGTTGCGCTTGTCAGCTTCATGCATGATGAAATGAGTAATATCTAATTGGACTTTCATATGTCAGCAAATAGATTCTGTATTTATGCTTCCTCAGTTTGTTAGGATCTTACTTGTCCTTCATAAGTCCTCAAAATACCTTGAATCCTTCAGCTTTCTCATCTCTTATTTGCTCTTTTCCTATTAAATAATCTTCACCTTTGCCACCTTCTCATGATACTGAAGGAACGTTTTTCCTATTATCTCTGATATTCCTGCCTAGTAATGGCTCCCTTTTAACCTTCGTTTTTCTAACTGTATACCTGTCTAGTTGTATAATACCTTCCCATTCCTCCTTTATGTTCTTTTTAGATTTTTAAGTTCTTTAAAGAGTCATGCCAGGTCTTTTTCCTCCATGGTAGACTCTTTTGCCTTTGTCTTTTTAATATAGTCTGTTTTGATAACTGCAAATTCTCCTGCACTACATTTTCCCTTAGAATTTCTTCCCAAAAGACTCAGCTTACTAATTCCCTGAACCTATTGATTTTTGCTGTTCTTATTGCACTGTGCCTTGCAATAGAGAACTCAGATAATTCTTGGTTTTCACCCTCCTCAAATTTCTTTCTATTTTCAAATTCTTCTCCTTATGAGTTAGAATCAAATTCGTGGCACCAGTTGCCTGAGTTCTCTGCCCTCTGGACAAATGAAATTGTCCCTGAAACACAGCAAATCCCTTTTGGGCAGCCTGTATTGTCCAGATTTTTTCCCAGATATAGTTTGGTCATAAAATCTGGCTTTACTGTTTTGTCCTTTGGATTTACTAGCTATAATTGAGCTCAATTTTCCTCTTTCTTTACTTGCTGGTAACTTGCTCTCTGCAAGAAACCCATTCAATGATACTGTTCTTTAACTTTCTGGAGAAAGAGGAAAATGCTTAGGGCTAGATTTACAAGGAGTGAGTCATCTTTCACTCAGTGTTCTTACAGTTCCACAGACAAGAAAGCCCAGAAGGAAAAGAGAGTCAATATTATTTCCAAACCTATTTCATAAAGGGGAGTTTGAAACACAGCAATTGTCCAAAGGTCGTTCTTGATGTCTGAGGAGGATTTGAGAATTGCTTAAATCTCCTTAATTCCAGTTCAGTGTCTAAGTGACAGGCAGTTTTTTCTCATAATTCATCTATCTCTAGTCCATTTTTTAACAGTTACTCAGTTTCTTTCTCATCTGATTTTGATATAATCTAATTAATTATTTCACAGTTAGGGGATTTTAACCCTTGCTGAAGAATAAATTGCCTTCTTTAGGGTTTCTTTGGAAAGACAGATTGTCCAAAGAAGGTAAAAATGGGAGGGAGGTTTAAGTGAATCAGAAATGGTAATTCTGCTTCAAATGTTTATATAGCAAATTTTCCTGTCCACAAACATTTCAGATACATGTATGGATGGATGTATGAAGGTATGTATTTAATTGTATATAATTGACTAATGATTTGCTATCCATTGGTTTAGGTAATAGTGATGTATGTTGTTTATCCAGTTATGGAACAGTCTTAGATGTGAATAATGTATTCTGATCCTTGCTTCTCACAGTTATCAAGTGGAAAGAGAAAGAACAGACTGCAGGGCCGCAGCTCAGGGTCAAGGTTTCATCCCAGTAGGAAGGATGGAAGGAGAGGAATATTCACAGATTTCTGCTGCTCACAATGTTAAATCCTACACAGCCCTCAGTCAGGTGCATCCTTTGCTCCTACACTTATCTCTAGAAGGAGCTATCTTGCATTCATACCAAATCAACTTGGTTTTCTTTTCTTTTTTTGATATGTTATTTTTCTTTTAAAGATTTTACACATAACCCTGCCTCTTCCCAAGCTTCTTAAACCCAGAGATGCCACACAGCAAAAGGAGCCCTGCCAACGCACATGCTCTGAGTACCTTATGTAGAGGGGAGCCTGTTTCACTTTTGAATGTTGGTAGATAGATAAAACTATTGAAGCTATTTTCTAAACCCCTTGAAACTTATAGATACTCAGCTGGTCTTCCTGTACATAAGTAATAATATCTATGAGAAACACATGAAGAGCTGTCGAGAAGATCGAAACCAGCATTTTATTCCCAAGCAGCACTAAATTTTTCTCATAAAACTACCAAAACATAAATAATTAAAAAAGTAATTTCCATTTCCATTATTCAGAATTAAACAGCAGCAGAAGTGGGAAAGAAGGGGACCAGAAAAGAAAGCAGGCAGAGGTGGTTATAAAAACTGGTGACTGACAGTAGTGGCCAAAGCAAGCTAATCAGAGAGATCTCTCAGAGTTCCTGGTACATAATGCACTGGTTTTGTTTTTCCACAGTAGAATTTCTGCTGAATATTGGCTGAGAAATGTGCCATTGGCTTGTGTAACTGCTATTTATTATTTGTCATGCAGCTTGGGGATTGCAGCTATAGGCTAAGCCCTTTTTTGCCTGGCAGCATACCAACTCAAAGCAGAAGGATAATTGCTTCCACAAAGAGGTTAAAATAACACAAGGATAACATAAATAACATATAGATGCAGACAGATACGTAAACTGTTACCTAATTCTGGGTAGCAAGGTGTCTACTGGTCAGCTAGCCTGTATAGAACAAAACACAGTATTAAAAAAGTTAAACATGATTTCCTAAATTCAGAACTCTTCATAGCTGTGTTGGAGCAGATCAGGGACCAGGTAACAAACATAAGAAACACTCTTCTCCCTTTCTGTTTTTTTCTAGGAATAATAATTTGCCTGCCCATAGCAAGGTTTCCTCAACAGTAGTTCAGCTGTACCTCATGAGTACCTTACTCAAGGTTTACTCAAGCCTCTTTTATTGCTTTTCTCCTCTATAGGGATGTGGAGTTCAGTCGAAGTCTAGGAGAAAAAGATGTGTAGTTGTATCTCAGTTTCACGCGGTGGTAGTTTATATCAGGAAAACTGAAACTTGTCAGGCCTGGTATGTATTCAGTTCTTTTACATAATTCCCAAGGTTGAATACAGTAAAACATGTAAGTTGAGCAATTAAATTAATGAATAATGTCACTGTTGTTTCAGTAACATAAGGTAAAGAGGCGACAATTGTGGAAAGATTCATTTCTGATGCACACCCACAAATTATCATTCCTTGTTCTTGATTTTGTGTGCATAATTTTGCACTTCAACAGAGAATGGCCTCTTCACTGCATGGCAGAACTGTGCTAAGAAGTTTGCTTCTGCTTCCTAATGTCCTTTAAGAGATAAATGATCAAGGGCTCACAGTTCTCAGTGACATTTAAATGATGGATATTGCAAAAGTGCAGTAAGGTCCAGAAAGCCTGCTTAGGCTTCTGCAATCTGGGAGTTGCAGTGCTTAAAGAAATGAGACTTTGAAATGGGGTGGTTGAAGGTCAGGAAATTTTCCACTATGGTAGAATAAGATACTTGAATCCTGCATATGATGCAGGCTCAGGCTAGAGCTTGCTAAATAGTGGGGCCACCAGCTGTAGGGTTTGTCTCAATACTAGCCCCACGAGCTGCATGCTGAGTGTTCCTCTATTCTACAGATTCACAGACTAGACTCCTTTCCTGCAAATAACAGACTACCTTTTGTGACATATGTATAGTTAAACCCCTCAGTATGTGAGAAGACAGGATCCCAGCTCCTGCTCCTTTGCCTGTTAACTGTACAGAAGTGGACCAAAAGCCAGAACTAGTCATACAAGACAGTATTCCTAGTCTCCCTTTGTGTCTCAGCTGTAGGGCCATATTCTTCTTGGCTTGCTTGCTCTCCCCTGTCCTCCTAATACTCATGCCCTTGGCAGCAGAGTGAGGTATCCATGGCAGGTCTGGAGGGCATCCTGGGCTTCTATAGCTTGGTGAATGAATGAGTCCAGCAAAGCTGGATGGATCCTTCTAGTCATGAGGGCAGTGGCTCTCTAACCTTAACTTGCAGAGGAAATACTTTTCCTACTAAGCCACAATGCAGTCTGGGCACCAGCACCAATCTCAGCTGTCACCTGTGAATAGTGTTGCAGTGGTTATTTTTGTTTTGAAACGTGAAATGCTGGCTGTGTATCTCAGCTCTTTTTTGAGCACTCCAATGGAATTTTCTGTATTTTCTACCTTGTCCCTGAATCCCAGGTCTGGGACAGGGGTATGAGCCCTCTTCCTAATCTTCAGTGCTTTTATGGCAGTGTTAGTTTAAAATTTACAGAGCATTTCAGTGCAACATATTGGAACTGAATTGGTTTGGATGGACCAGATTTATCTGGTAAATACTTTGACATTTAATGTGTGCAGTTCACATTTTACTGCAGATTAACTGCCACCAGTTCCCACATCAGCTCAGATGTATGTTCAGCAGTCTTTACTGTGACTGCACCATAGATATATTGCACTTTCCAAGAGGAAAGAATAGTGTTTTCCTCCTCAGCAGCGTTGTAGTGAGGTAAGAAACATTGTTAGGTGTGTTGGTACACTAGTAAAGAGTAGCTGGATGAATGCTAGCATAATAGTGAGCAGTAACTAGGAATCTCAAGTCCTAGCAATTTTACCTTGCTACAAACAGACACTAAAGTCTATCCCAAGGTCAAATTGGATGTGGGTAAGTGGGAGACAGTGGAGCAAATGGACTGTACAGCTGCACTCCAGACCTGTTGGCTACAGACGTAAAACTTGGAGCCACTTTGCCACAGACTGCATGTCTGTTTTCAGATGAGAAATTAAGAAGGATTAGAATGGCATGCGTTCTTACATGAGTGCCATCATGCCATACATACATATACATGCAACATTCTTACATATGCATCTAGAAAATTACATATTTTTAGTATGTTTATGTATTAAATATATAAAGATGTTCTGAGCGTATGAGGTTCTCTTGTCTTTGGCTTTTTTAATTTTGATTTTGCTCTCTGATTGCCTTTGGAGTATCTGCAGGGTTTTCTTGCATTTGCAAGGAATTTACATTTTAAATTGTATGTGATGTGCTCTTTCCACTACTCTAATTTCTAAATGTCATTTTGATTATTAGCATCCTTTTGACGTAAGTCAAGGTGCTTTGCTCCTTTCTAGCCACGCAGCTTCTGTTTTCCCCCCAAATCTATTTACTTTCCAGTATGCTTCAGTAGCCCTTTCTATAGACAGATATTTAATTTTCAGTTGTTACCTGCAGACTAGTTTATTTTGTCTAATTATTTCTCCTTGTTAATCTTTACACTTTAAGGGAAATGGGAATACAAGTGCTATGTGGATTTCTTACATTCTGAAGTTTATTCAGCTCTTCACTGAAAACAGCTCATTCTTTTCCAGCACTTGCTCTTCTCCAAGGTGAGCTGGAGGGGATGGAGACCATCCCTGTCGCCCTGTTGCAGCTTGGCTGTCCTACAAGGAGCCCTGCACAGCACCAGCCTCCAGCCCAACTCTTTAATCTTCAGCTTTTCTATTTCAAGTTTCTGTGTAATGTTTGTTCCTGGCCACCATCGCTCACAGGCACTTTGATCCTTGCAAAACCTCTGGACAAAGAACAAATAAATAGAACACCATCACAGGCACTATCACTGTTTCTTAATGACATTGAACAGCTTTCCTAAAGTTAAACAAGTGTCTTGCACAATTTAGTTAGCCCAGAAGCTAACCTAGACTTACTTCCTATTAACCCAGGCAGAGCTTCAGAAGGTTCATGTCAGATGTTGTTGGCTTGTAGCCACCTACCTTGTTGTTGTTACCTTCTTGCCATTCTTTGTCTACATCCTTAGAATTTAATTTACATGAAACATACATCGTGACACAGAATTTTATTACAAATAGTTCTTAGAGGTACTTGAGTGTTTTCTGCCTTTACCAAACTAAGCACTAATACAGATTCATAGGTGTAGGCATTATTGGGGCTGGTATGTACTCTCTTGGGTGTGAGCCTTTGTAACTGCTAATTGTATTCTGATTAAATACTTGTGACTGGGATTCACCTTTGGGAATAAGTCCTGTTATGGGAGCTTTAGAGCATAGACTGAATCAAATGGAATTTTACTTAGCATTTCAAAATGGCACTATTAATGATGGCATGGAAATGTTGTATTTTACACACAGTGGGTTACAGAAGTTTACAGAAGGAAATGCTCTTTCTGCTGGAGAAACAGAGATAAGGAAGATATAAAGTCTTGTCAAGTCCTTATTCTGAAAAATTCAGATTTATGCCATATATGAACATAGCCAGTAACTGTACTATAAACTGTAACTATTTCTCTTCTACTGGATGTAATTATTCTCTCCAGTGCAGTTAAAAGTGCCCTCAATATTTTGTAACCATGAACAGCAGCAGATTCTACGCCCAGGGTTGCTTTTGTGGTTGGACTGCCTTTAATATTTAATATATGTCTTTGTTGGATTTCAGTAAAAATCAGTTTGTAGGAATGACTTATTATTGTTGTCAGTTTGTATCTCTATAATGTTTGCTTATATGCTCATTCAATTGACAACAATACCAGTTTCCATTACAAACAAGGGAGAGAGAAGTGGCTTATATAACGGTTCTTTTGTCCTAGATTTCATGTTAATGTGTCCTAAAGTTGTAAACTCATTTAGATAAACTATTTATATATTTAGCTTTTGATTGTTGTACACAGCTGTTGAATTTCTTCCTGTCTTCTCAAGTAAGGCAGTGTTCAGTGGGAGAGTGAGTTTCCGAGTCTGGCTATTGAAAGAAATTCACTTTAGTTATGTGGACAAGGGGAAAAGAAAGTTGCGAACTCTTGTTAAAGAACGATGTTATGGAGTGCTTCTAGTTTACAGAATGTACAGTTGTACCATGAATTAGTAGACATTGCGCTTGTGTTTGATTAACAGCTCCTACTAGATTTTCCACTACCTGTGGGGATACCAGTGTTGTGTCTGTTATCACTATTCACTGCCAAATAAGAAAAGCAAAGCATGCACAATGGACCCAGGACAATTGAGCAGAGCTGAATTGGCAGCACTGCAAGCTCACGTCAGGCTGCCTGCCAGGATGGAGAGCAGGGACAGACAGGCAGCTCACCTGAGCTGGCAAATAGTAGATTGCAGCACAGCAGCATGCTGGTAACAAAGCACCTGATGTTTCTTTCTCAGGAACAATGACTTAATGTATTTTCAGTCATTTAAGAGAGAGAGAGAACCATTTCATGCTTCTCATGAGCATCAAGCATCCAGTACAGCTTTTATATATGTATGTCTGTAACTGTCTAGGACATACAGGTATTCTAAAGTTTGGGTTTGTTTCATTTATGAGGTCACTGCCTTCCTAATTTGAGCTTTTAACTAGAATCCCAGATGATATTGAAGAATTATTTCCTCTGTTAAAAAAAAACGGGACCTGCTAATATTATTAATACCACTGATGTTATTCTTCCTTGAAGTGGCTGCTGGGCAGTGCTGGTGGTGCTGTACATATACAGCTGCCTAGCAATCTCTGTGGTAAAGTTTTAGACTAGAGCTCTTGGCTAGTACCTCTTCTCATCTGGATTTTCTTTATTCTGTCACCAGACCATGTGTTAAAAGCTGTCTCATCCCTTTTGCCTTCAGGAGTGCTGGCAAGGGTGGGTGTCACCTGTCAAGTCTGACTTTTCGTTCTTAGTTCACCTTAACGGGTATTTTTGCCCTCTTCATTTTTTTCCTCTCTCTTTTGTTGTTGTTGTTGTACAGGAGAGAACAGAGGCTCTGGTGACTGTGAGAAAGTTCCTGATGTAGTGCCATGGTCTCACTGGACCATGGAGAGAGTCTGACAGGACAAGTGTAGACAGGCAGCTTGCACAAACAGCCGTTGCAGAGATTTCATGAGGAAACACACAGAGAAAAAAGAGATGGTAAACACAAAGGAGTTAGTTGTCTTACTCTATTAATATGTAATAACAACAGCTGCTTCCTGAGGCATGGCTTTATTTAATAGAGTAATTTAGACTATTTTGAAAGCATATGCAATTAATATCGAATTTTTTTTTTTGCCACCATGACATTACTTAAGGTGCCTAAATAAGAGCCTGAGATGTATTTTTAGTCTCTGAGAGAGTACTCCAACATACGCACTTCACTTTTTCATGTGCAAAATGCTTTGTCTGGCATCTCTTTACAAGCTCACATGAATGTCTCCTTCCTCTCACTTTACCCCAGTAATTAATGTACTTTCTGAACCAGCAAGATACGTTACTGTTATTACTGCTACATTTTAGGTATCCATGCCCAGTTGTGCTACACATTGCACAGATGCATATTTTCAGAATGCTCAGGATTGGCTTTCGTGTGTACAGTTAGAGTGGAGTGTCCCCAGATTCTCTGAGGTTAGCAACCACTTGTTCCTGGAGTTTAGATCTCAGAAAGCTGTTTTTCTCTGCCTATTTCCCAAAACAGAATAGCAGATTACCACAGCACATACCCTGCTTACTGGTCCTTTCCTATTTAGCTTTGTGTCTTTGTGTTTAAGGCACTGATATTCCCTCCCAGAGCCAATCTCTGCGATTTCTACCTAGCAAAGAATGCTGTGTCATGCCTCCTCCCTCCTGGGAGACCAGAAAGCAGAAGGGACAAGTACCCACACCAGGGAGCTGGAAAAACCTACAACCCCTATTTTAGATGTAACGCAAACATCTCTACTTACCAAATGGCTCTCCAGAGGTGACCCCGAATAAGAAGTAGCTCACAGTCGGAACAGTTTATGTCTCACACTGGCAAGATGTGCAAAGAGGATGTATGTTGGTGTGCTGTTCCAATTTATAAGAAAATGAGGCACAGAGCACTTAGGTGCCTTGTTCAGTGCCAGACTAAGTTTATTGCAAAACTAACAACACTAGGAGTTTTGTCCAAATTTCCTCAGTTTCAATGATTGGCTTAATTCCTAACAACTTGCTTATTTTTCATTCATAAAATGCTATGAGAAAAATCATAGGCTGAATTACTTTTCACGTGTTTATTTACATTTGGGCACATGTTGTGGCATTAAACAGCAGACAACACTGCAGACTCTTAATTACCCTGGCAGGTGAGCTGACAGTAATTGCAGGAGTTTCCAGAACTGACTCCTGTTTTAAGATCTCCTCCCTTACCCTTTCCTCTGCAGTTGCAGAACACTGTTTTTTCCATTTTTCATTACTGTGACATCTCACTGAAGGCAGAGAAGTGACATTGCAGCTAATGGTGCTCTGAGGATTATCCGGCAGCTGAGAGGCTGATGGCCCCATCGCTCTCTTTCTAGGTGGAACAAGCTTCCAGAACTGTAGGAGAAAAAAGTCTCATGCATATCCAAGAGGCAGTGGGAGGTCTGCTCTCCTGTTTGCACCACAAATGGGTACACCACCTTTTGGGGGAAGAGATGAGCGAGAAGAGAATATACTTTTGAAATTTACTGCCCAGGTGCAAAATGAATGGGAAAAACATGGAATGCAAAATGAATTTTCTCATAACAGCTGTAGGGAAAGAATACACCTGCTGATGAATGCTCTTGTTTTGGAAGTGCAACGTTCCTTGTCAGCCCTGTGTTTTCAGCTCTCAAAAGCTCAAGAGAATTGCTGTGAATGATGTGCTCAGGATTTTTAGGAGCTATGCTCTTCCTAACATTTGCTTCTCTTCCTTATGTTGTGTGAGGTAAGATGCACACGTTATTTCAACCTCAAGAAAAATAGGCCACCTCATTTTAGCATTTCAAAACTAGATGAAAAGGAGATAGTTTAGATACTCTTTTAAGGCACACACATTAAAGATTCTCCTGAGATAATGAATCTGTCAGTGTTTTCATAGGTGGATGTAGAACATTATCTTTGTACAAGAAACTTTCAAAAGAAAAACAGAACAGTCTTCTTAAAATTAAAACAAAATTGTCAGCTAGAATCTCTACATACAGATGAGCCCATTGCTCTAAATGCAGCACAGGCTCATCCTAACCTGGGTCTTTCCTGTGAGGGTCCTGGCACACAGCCTTCAAGACCCTCACTGAGGCAATAGTCAACTGCAGGGGGGTCAAAGGTCACAGGTCACTGCTGTCTTGGATGGGGTGAAGCCTGAAAGAGTGTGGGGAGCTCCTCAGTCCCATCATTTGTTGAATAAGGAAAAGTCCTGACGTGCCCAAATACTCCAGGCAGAGAATGAAAAGGGCTGCTTCAACTAAGCTGAATTTACATGTGCTTTTCCTGCGCTCTGAAGATATTTCAACTTAAAAAAAACAGATTAAAATGAATGAAACAAAGTTCAGTTTTTTAGTTGGGATCAATCTGTCTATATGGTCTTTTGTTCTATATGAACAAAATGTTCATGTCCTCTTAAACACCGACAACCAAATCCTGCCTCTGGTGAGGAATCACTCTGACCTCACGCTGCAGCCTGCACAGGTGAGATAAAGAAGCTTGCAGCAAAGAGTTTGCATTTTATTTCTTTTTGAACTGAAGTAGAAAGTCTTCCTTTTGTGGAAATAAGTTTCTGAGACATCTGGGCTGCTGAGCCCTTTCTCAAGGACTAGAGGTCTCTACTGTGGGAGCAGGCATGAAGGTTTGGCACTGCACCATAGGGCAGAAAGTACAGTTAGTGAGATAAATTGTTTAAAACTATTAAAATTAGGTTGTTGTTTTGTTTTTTTATTTTGCAGGATATTGGAACTTACTCCATTTAGAAAATCTCTGGAAAATGGAAGAGTGAATTCACAGTAAAGGTAAGAAAGCTTGGCCATGATGTTAGTAAGAAAAACAAGTCTGTGTTTTCCAATCACAATTAAGAAATCCTGATGCTTGTGTGATTTTGAGCACTGGAAAATAAGGTGTAATCTTGCACTGGAAAGCTTGTGGGCTTGTTAAGGAAGTAATTTCTATCTTACTAAATTTGCAAAACTGAGAAATTGTGCAGTACAAGCTTGCCTTATTCAGTAGGTTAAAGTATGTAACTTTACTCCTGGTTAAAGCCATGGGATAGGCAGCATGCATTGTTTTGTTTCATTTGTTAAGATTATTAATGACCAATATGTAGGCATACTAGATTGCAGGCTTGTTTTGCACTTCAGCCAACGTCAAATGCATTTTCCATGTGCTGAGATGCTGCGGTTGAGAGAGTGGGACCCATGAGCTGCTGCCATTTTTTATTCCCTGAATTGGTGGGAGTCACCCAGAGTAGCAGTGGGGAAATTTTTAGGCACATTTCTATGTGTTTTTACTGGATAAGAGTGTACCAAGAGTATATCTTAGCTAAAGAGATGTGCTTCGGTTTAATCAATAGATAGATAACATGGAAACTTTTACTGAGCTGACTGTATCTATGAAGAAGCCAGAGCATATGTGCAGTGCTGCACAGGCAGGGAATTGTAAGCATAGACCACTGAAGTTGGGATCCTTTCTTAGTTATGCTTTCTTTTTTACTTCATTATGCTTTCTTTCACTGCTGTTGCCTTTTACAGTGTTTTGTGGGATGTGAAAATCATGAAATTCAGGCTCAAGTGGCCATTTCATTGAGAATTTAAATCCGTACTGTTGAGCTGCCTATCCTAACGCCCTGTTCATGCCACAGTGTTGCCAATGGGCAAGCATGGAACTGCTGGGAACAGTGTTGTAGTGTCCTATAAAGCAGAGGACCTGTAAAGATGCATTTCATTTTTAATGGGATGTCAATCTGTGAATTTGTGGATGTCTCTGATAATCTCATCCTTGTTCATTTGGGAAATCTGCCAAAATCTATGGCCAGTTGCCTCCCCTGGGATTACTGTCATTGGTTTTGTTTGAAGGGATATGGAATGGGATGGGTATTTCCAAACACCTGCCAAACAGGGCTGACGTGGAGGAGACACCCCAGAAAAGTCACATTTTCAGGACTTAGTTTTGAAAGAATTAGGCTCTAGAACATGGAGATTTTCTGAAGACTGAATTTGCAAATCCTGTAGTATCACCTTGAAGTGATATTTTATGCCGTGACATTTGTTGCTGCTCTAGCTTTCCCAGTGACTGTATAAATTGCTTTTGCAAGCAGAAATTTATTGCATATACACAATGCAGCTCTCTTGATTTTGCACCTCCATCACTCCCTCAACTCCTCCCCAAAACAGCTGTTGCTATAAAGTGATATGTCATTTGTTCTTGAACTTTTCTTAATGATTGTGATGGCATTTCTGATATTTCTTAGAGGCAAGTGCAGCAGGTGCTCTTTCACTAAGTCAATCAAATACATTTTACCACACCAAAAAAATCCAGCTATGAATTCGTAATTGTTGTTGCTTCCCTTGTTCAGCGGCAGAGCCAGTCATTCTGGTCAGTCTGTTCCCCACTCCTAAATCCCAGGATCCTAGTGGGTTTTGTTGTGCATGGTGAGCAAGTATCTCGAGACTTGAACAATTTTGGTAGACTAAGTTGTCAGGAGACATTTTACTTTATTTCTGTGTTCTGTTTTAAATTCTCCTCCTTGAGTAGCCTTTATGCAGACACAACATACTCAACCCAGATGGATTTTCTATGAGGCATATTTGGGTTTCCTTTCTGCTATAGCTTACTTAAGGTGAGATCTGTCATTCTGCTGCATCTGTTGTGGTTTTTTGCTGTTTTTCTGATTCTTCTTGAACAGATCCATAGAAAAGGATTCAGGTAAATTTCCTCCCAGCTTTATTTTCTTTTGCCTTCTACTGAAGCAGTGAAACAAAATTAAAATGTCTTATACATGATTTCTACCTTAGACAGAGCTCAAGTAAGATGTTAGAGGCCGTATTTTCTTTGACCTTGGCCCTGCCCTTTCTTCACCATTCACATCTTATGAAAAATGCTGTACTCCAAACCAGTACTAATTTTTTCATTAATCACAACACCAATTATATGAAGTTTGTTTTTAATATCATAGCTTAGCCTCTCCATAATTTTCCTTATGCTTTTGAAAAATCAGAATTGTTCTTATCGGTCACTCTACTTTTACACATGTAGCTTCTGTGAAAATATATGCAGTCATCTGTTTTAAAGAACAAAATAACAACTCTGTCTCTGCAGAATATTCATAAATATTCAGACCTTATGCTTCTGCCATGATGTGCTGAATTAGTCATGGGTCATTAAGTCAGGGTTTGAGGAGCTGCACATGTTTGGACATGGAGTTTTAATTTGATCCATTATAGTAATTTAAGCCATCCTTGAAACTGTGATCTGGATCCATATCTAAATTCTGAAAATGTTACAGTCCCATCAATGCTAAAGTTATTAAATGAGACACATTTGGGTGTTTGAGATGCCTGTCGGTTGCAACTGCCGCTACGAAGCATTAACATCGTGATATCTTTTCCATGAGCCATTTATAAAACAACCACAGCCATAAGCATCATGCTCAGGGACAACCAGAAAGCCAGTCACAGAACAGTATTTAATAGCTGTGTGTTTAATTTTGTGTATTAATTACCACAAAAGCGTTGCTGAAATTAATGTCTGTTGCTAAGGCAAACCCCAGAAGTTGTGCAGTTTAAACTGATTCAAGTAAGCTTAGGAGTAGCCTGTGGGAAATGCAGCAGCTGTTACTAAAATTGTTTCAGTTTTGAGAAGGGGCCTTTGAAGTCTCAGAGATACGACTTTAATATATCTGAGGAAAAATAATTACAGGGAGCAGTGATTTCCAGCTTTGTTTTAGCATACTTGTGAAGCATCAAGTCTGTACAGTCATCTAGATCTTCCCAAATTAAATCAGATACTAAAATGTCTGGAGTCGGAGAAGACCATCAGTTATTACATTGTCTCTGGGGAAAGGAGTGTCTGGTAGAAGATTCTTACTTCATTTGGCTGCTGCTGATTCATCCAGGTGATGTTATTTGAATTTACACTGGAATTGAACCTGGAACTGCAACAATAAAATGTTTGCTCAAAAAAAGGGAGAAAGTACGTGGAAAATTGTATTTTATGACAATGAGACAAATGCCTATAACTGAAATTGTTGCAGGAAATATAAGCTTTTAGAAAAGAGAAAAAGAGAGAAGATACTGAATTGGATCTTGAATCTTTTAAACTTAAAATTCTAAACAACAACCCTGAGAATTTATGACTGCATCATTTTGCATATCTCAAACCAGCGTTTCCTTGTCCCACAAATAGAAACTTTATTTGGTATTGATTAGTCTTTTCTATTTCTCAGTGACTCAGATTCCTTGTTTATATCTACATCTATCTAGCTGTCTCAGGACATGTAGTTTCATTCTTGAAAGTGCAGGTAAGTTCACTTGCAAATATCACAGTGGAATTTAGAAAGTGATGTTTACCCATGTCAGCCATGCAAAAGCACTCAGGACTGGCTATCTCTATGTTCAATGAAGTCAGTGGTAAAAACCCCCCACAAAATACATTCTGTAAGATCTTGATGGGCTTGTAATTTATGTCAATATATGATCTGTTTTAGTGATGAGTTTATGGATGTTGGAAAATTAGGATAAGTTCAGACCTATGATTCATGCATAAAATGCATGGTGTAAGTGCAAGAGGCCTCAAGGAAGGAAACCGCAAAGTATCCTTCCGTGTTCACAAATGAGTGATGTTATCTTGCTTTTCAATTTCTTCAACTATCCTGATTAAGTTTTGACAATTCAATTGATAAAAGAAAATTGCTCTGTTTTAAATTTGCTGTTTAGCCTTTGTTCACTGAGGATATTAAAAAGAAGCTAGCTGTGTTGCAGCATTCAATCTTCAGCATTAAGAGTATTAGTATGTTTCTTTGGTCAAAGTTGTGCTGTAGTGAGTGTCACGCCAATGTTTCTCATGTGTTCGTTGTACTCTGATGAATGAAAGTGCTATGGCAACTTTATATCAGAGAAGACTAGAGCTGTTGCCTGTATCTACACATAGTAAGATGCATAAAGGTGTTCTTTCATGCCCACTCTTCAATGTTGAGTCTGGACAGAGCTTTGCCTTTCTTTTTTCTATGGGCTTTATTCCGTGAGACTTGATTCAGTTGTTCCTGGTTACTGAGATAACTGTTCAGATGATTGTTCAGATTATTCATATAGCCTAAAACCAGAATCTGGACTGCTTTCATCCCTTTTCTGAGGGGTCTTAGAGGAGCACTCCGAAAAATGGGTCACATCTCAGAAGATACTTAATGAGGCAGATATTGACCCAGTCCAGGGGGAAAAAAAATAAACAAAAAAATGGAACCCAAAGCAGCCATCCAAAAGAGAACATTCTCCAGTCAGTATTAGAAGCAAACCTTTCTTCTCCTTATACCAACTGTTAAATAATCCGTCACTCACGTTAAATAGTAAATTAGCTTCTAGCAACGCCATCAGTAAGGTACAGCAGTTTCACTATTTTCAAAATATGAACAAATCCATACATCCAAGAATTTTGGTAGATTGGAGGTTTAAAAAATTGAAAATGAAATTGTTGCCTAAAATTGAATTTCTGCATTATAATAAAGAAAAACTTCATTGATAACATATGTCTCAAATCTTTAAATGGTCAGTGAGCAATACCGATCAATTGCAAGGTGTGAGGACTGTGAGTGGAGTGATGTATGTATTCATGCAGTGGAGGAGAGGGTTTCTGCAGTAACGGCCTCAGAAATAAACCTTGCAAAAGCTCTACAGTGCATAATTTTACATTTAAATAATTAATTCTGAGACTGGCACCATGGAGAAGCAGCTGTTTCATCCATCTAACCCCCATGATCTGATTGTGTGATCATAAATCAGCATTCCCATCATTACCTATTTCCCAGGTAACAACTGGTTACAAAAAGATCAATCTTTTGCTGGAAATACTTTCACTTAAATGATTCATAGGATCCTGTTTATTATGAGGAAATGTTTACATGCATTTGTACAATTCATTTTGATTCATTGACTTTAATTTAGATTCAGAATGAAAATAAATGCTGGAATGAGCTGCAGAGGAGATGTTCCATTTTCTGGCCAGCCCTAGGGTTGCCGTCAGTTATTCACAGTGATGATTTATAACTTCTGGTAAATTTTTCTTACAATGCACTACAAATTTGATGGAGGTACCTGCAGTAAATAGAATGTGAAAGCAGCAGGCCCATTATGTGATTTCCCAGGAATGACACAAGAGCAAGCTGCAAACGAGCAGCCATGGACTCAACTGACACATGGCATGACCTCAGCTCAGACACAACAGTTAACAGATTTTAAGAGAGTAAGTCTTGATCACTCCAACTGAGTAGCTGGGTTCTGTTTAACATTATAATGGATTTACAGTCACCAGTGGGCTGGGAGGGGAAGGGATAGGATATGTACTGGCATATACATAACACAGAGCTTAGAACGAGGCACCTGTAGGGCAGGACAGTCAGGAGTAGTTTCCCAGAGCATGTAACACTGGAGCAGCATAAAGTTGTAGTCCAAGGCCTTTAACTGGTCTGTTGCTAAGTACTCATGGAGCAGAGAGGCTCATCAGGTCAGATAGCGTGGATTTTTTAGGGAAAGGGTGGGTTTCCTAATGCAAATTGTGATAGCAGTGGCATTTGTAAGGGGTGAGTGTTTTCTGGGCTTGGACACTGCTGTAGTATTTTAAGGTATGAAAGACATTCCAGGCAGCATTTGTCTATGATGTAGCTGCAGCCCCCAAGTGACTTTCTAAAAAGATTTTGTTCAGCACAGTTTCCTCTGCTTATACAACAACTCTCTTCCACTTAACATGGATCCTCAGACTGTGCCTTTTCAAGATGGGGTTAAATATACAGAAAGAAACATAGCAGTCAGAGACAAAATAAACATTAAAGTTTTCTCACAGTCTAAATAGGACTCAATTCATTGTTCCAATAACATCCCAGTTCTTGAAATTAAATTGTCTGAATGAGGTCCATCAGGGAGATTCAAAGGCATTTCGGCGTTTTGCTCCTACTGAGTTAGCCACCTGAATATCCTAAAAAAGCTGACCCCCTCTTCAAAGAAAGGAGCTTCATTAAGCTCTAAATGCAATATGCAAATTGCCTTTATAATCTCTTCCTTTTTACTGACTGCTTTTGCATAATGTAACAACAGGGCTTTGAGATTCATGCTGTGCTGTTTCTGTTGGGCAATCCATATACGTACCCACATTGCAGAAGAGTGATAAAGCTTTCTCTTTCCTCGTGTAAGATCAGATCATTTAAGCAGCCACTGCCTGTCTTGTGAGGGGAAAAGGCAGTGTAGTCATAGTTTTGAATAAGAAATTACTCAGATTTTTTCCTTCCATCCACAAGATGCAACTAGAGCATATCAAGTAAAAGATTCTCTTAGGAGAAAGAGTTAATAGCCATTTTGTCACAAAATGAAGTTTTAAAGTTAGTGATGTTTACAAAAAAGTTTATTTTAGCATAAACATTTTGAAATAAACTGTATGCAAATAAATGATCCTTTGGTTAAGGTTCATTTTCAGGAGCCTTTTTTAGGTCTTTCAGAACTAATGAATTACTGCCAAAAAGGCTAACATGCAGAAATAAAAAGGCATTTATATTCTGTATCAGGCTTTCCAAAGTCCACTGAAGTCAGTGGGGAGCAGCTACCCTGCTTCAGTGAACAGTATTTCAGATCTGAATGGAGAGCAGGCTTGGGAGAAAGGATTTCCTGTTTCTTTAAATGGGATCAATTTAATCCCTTCCCCACCACTCCCTTCTTGCTTTATAGGGGCCATTTGAGCTCAGTCCCAGGCAGTTTTGTCTCCACTGAAGCAATCTGTAGAGCAATTCATGAGTTACTCCTAAGAGGTAATCAGTTGGTTTTAAGATATTTGCAAGTTTCCTTTGGTGTATTCTGGCTTCCCATTCTTGCACTGTTCTTAACCACGGTTGTGCTAGGGTGAATTAAACTAAAAAGGTGATTCCATCTCAGCTGACTGTTGGTTACCAAAAGGTTCTCACTTGCTTGGGTATTGTTTACATCAGCTTTTCCATATTTTATAGACATGGGATATAAATGTGCAAGGTTAGTGTGATGTGGCTCCTGCTGTATACTCTTACAATACAATCAGGTGATCAGCAGGTATATTATGCAGAACACTCTCTACCAGAATAAAGCCGTAATTGAAATGGACATTGATGTCACTGAACAATTTATCTTCCTTAAAAGGGTTTTGCTTTACAAAAGAAGCTAATTTAGTCTGGGAAATTAAATTGACAGCCATGTGGGAACATTTGTCTAATTCACTTACAGAGTTGTATCATTAACCATGATTGTTTGATCAATATTTACAAAACAGTAGAATTTACTCTGTTGACAGATGTCAGAGTTCCTCTCCTCATTATGGAAAGTAGATTCTTTGTGGGTGACCTGCAACAACATCTACCTCCCTAGGGACGCAAAATGCTGATATGGTATTAATAGTGGATTTTGAAATGCACGATGCAGTCTTCTACAGTCTTTTAGTAGGCAGCTAAAACCAGGAAGAACTCTTCCTAAATCCATAATATTAGTATGGATACAAGATACAGAGGGTTTGTATCCTTACAGCATTGGATAAAACCTGGAGGATGCCCAACCTACTACATCTAACAGAAAAAAACAGCTATATATTTACTTCTATTCTCTGGTTACATGTGGATAGTAGCAAAGAGAGTGCTTCAGAGAAGGAACTACTTCTGCAATGACGTGTATTGCTAAGACTGTCCTCCCTCTTTAATTGTGCCATATTATTAGTCTTGTATCAGTTTTACTCTGCTTCCATCATGTCCATTTTGCTGCTTCAATTTGTAGAAACTGTTGTGAAATCCCTGTGGAAGCTTAACACACAGGACAGATGTATTGTAGACAAGTACAAGCAATTACTCAGGTTAAAAAAATCCTACATGGTTATACTTAAATAATACAGAAAATATTTTTCTCTTCACCTTCAGAGCTTTCATTTAATTAAAGCTTTCCTTCATTCCTACAATTTATGTCATCATGTATTCGTCTGTACCTGCTGTGAATCATGACTATAAATCACTTCAAATGGCTTAACTGATCTCTGATCAGCATTCTCCTGGTTTTGGGAGAATCCTTTTTTATGAAGTGGCTAAAGTACAGAGAAACTTCATCTGTTCCTCCCTTCTCAAACAAAATTCACTTAATAAGAAACTTTCTTTTTATCACAGCTTTAGGAAGTTCTTTATCACTATCAACACTTTGGAATCTGGGTGCTGCCAAGAGATGGTGAGTACTGTATATTTCACCAGTAATCTCTTATTTTGTCAAATAACTTTATGTACAGGAGTTTTGAATACTTGCTACTAAAAATGTCTGTATTCATGGTGGAGTCTGCGATGCCACAGTTGGTACCTGTATTTGGATTCGGATGTGGCCATCCAGAGGAAGGAGCTTTGTTTGCTTCTGTGACAGAAGGTCAGACAGAAAAGGTTGTCTCTGTTTCACTTGGTAAAAATCAGTATTGTTCCACTGAAGTGATTAGAACAATGATGATTTGGGGGCAGAGCGGTATACTTCTGTTTATCAAACAGCCTGATAGAAGAGAGAGCCCTGTTCAGACAACATGGGTTGGTTTTTTTTCTGTGAATCCTGCCTGTGTTCACTACTCTGTTTTTTAGCTTTCAAGTCAGTGGCTCAGACTTCACTGAATTAGCATGTGTGTAAAACTGGAGAAGTTTCTTTTGACATGGAAATTATTCCTGGTTTTCCCTGGCTACACTGGCATCAAATTTTTAGTCCTTGTTTCTTACAATGTTTGGGGCATCTTCTCTCTCCCTCTTCTCTTTCCCTCCCCCCCCTTTTAAGAAGGGATTTTCTTCTTATAAACTTTTCTGTGTCTTGGCCTGGTTTAAAAAGAGGTGCAGTTACTTCTGAATGACAAGCCACACAGGAACAGTTTTCTCCATTTTCCTTTTTTTCCTCACTTGACTTGCCTTTTGCAGTTAAAATAATATATTTTCCACTTACATAACTTTATGTTCTTCTTAAACCAACATGTACAAATACATAAAACACAAGTAACTTGGCTAGCTTTCATTGACATTTAAAACCAGAAGCGTGACTGCATTAGGTAAAATATGTCTTTCTTTTCACTGTATTTCATTTTATTGCTTTTTTCTGTCATTGTAAATATTTTTTTAAAAGTCTATACTAATTTACTGACCAAATATTATGGTGCTTTGAGATGCCTGACTATCACAGTAGCTGTAATATGTCTCCTATGAAGAGTTACACTGATTTATGTGAGCTATTGGTCTCTCTTGGGAGAGGGGAGAAGGGATAGATTGTGCTTTTGAATGGTATACGGTGATTTAGCTGATACCTGATCCCTGCCACGGCATTCACTGAGTATTTATCATGTAAATAGTAAGTGTCAGGTCTAATACAAGTATTCCGTTGTATGCAAGGTGTGCCTGCCCTCTGCTCCAACTGCCTCTTTCTAATTAGTAAGTGAGAAGGTGAAGTGGAGCCAGGTTTCTGCCTGTTATTCATACTGTCGTGCTCAGCTGTTTCAGATCAGGAATTGAAAGCATAACTACTCTTTGCAGCCTGTTGAATCTAAGGACAGGATATCATGCCTAGCATGAAGGTGATCCTTTAATTCTGTTAACTAAGAAGTCAGCTAAAATCTAGTCTTTCATGTCTTTTGGGTTAAGTCATTCAGATTTCTCGAGTCAGTTGTTATGTAAGAATGCAACCGGTTTGTGCAGTCCCCTAGGTAATGGGTTACTGCATACTTGAACGTGGGACTAAAGCTGTCAAATCGGTGCTTTTGAAATGTGTATTTCTTTGATTTCCTTCTATTCTTTGGTCCTGCCTGGAAAGCAGGAAAATAGAGACAGACGTGGTGATAGATTTGACAGCTGACCTATTACACTCCAAGAAAACGATACTATGATGGACCTTCTCTAAAAAGAATTCAGAAGGTATTAATGTCACTCTCAATCTAACAAATGTTTGACCTTTATTATGGTCTTACAGAAATGATAGCTGCTCATGCTCACTCTTCAATTTTAAATGCATGCTAAAAAACCTTTAAATGTGGAAAGCCCACAGATTGAAGGCAAGTTCAAGAAATTGCTTCTGACTTCAGGCGTTTTAATTTATGAATGACAGAATAAGCTGGCTCATGCTGAAGGTGGCAATCTAAGGAACTGTTTCATAGAGCTACATAGGCAGCTTTCCCTTCTTTGTGAAGCTGTGTTACATGATTCTACAGATTTTCATAGGTGTACTATGAAACCAGAAGTTTAATCCCATTTTGTAAGTGATTAGGGCCAAAGTGTATTCCCAGGAAATTAAATGAGAATTCTCTGATGGAGTTCAAAAGAATTGGGAATTATCATCTGTCTAATATCTTTCAGAATAATTTATTAAAACTCTTCCAGTTTTTCCATTATTGCATTGCCAATTCTGCTATTGCAAATTTGTGCATTGGGTTTCGGACTCTGGGGCAGAGGGGAAAAGCAGCTAAATAATGACTGAAATTCCAGTTATGTTAGCTTTATGCTTAATTCACATTGCTCCTAAAAGTAATTCAGTGCACAAGTTCATGTCGAGTGAGAGGAAATGGCCCTTGAGTTACAATAACCGTAACTTCAGCACAGCTGTGAAGATTGTAAATAATAATGTGTTTTCCCTCTTGATCACCAAAAGGACTTGCATGATTTCAGCACTGATCTGCATTTCCTTTCATCTTGGGCTACTCAGTTTTGGAGTAGTCTTGATTCCTTAGTGGATTAAAATGTACAGTGAGATTTGCCACATTTGTACTTGTATCAAGGCAAGCCGTAGTGCCACTTCATGCTAAGTCTTGCATTGATTTCAGAGTGAATAGTGGATGGTGATTAATACAGTGATTTTCAATCAATTATTTATTGATTAATTGTTCTTAATCTGTAGGTGGAAATAATGCCAAGTGGTAGGCTAACTTCCTATGCCCACTAGAAGAGGCTGTATAAGCACTGCTCAGCAGTAATGAAAACATCCCTGGGCTATCAGCTCTGCTTCCAGCACAAAACCATGCTGGCTACTCTGAAGAAACTAAACTTTATCCCAGCTGATAGGCCTGGAGTAGGACTGGGGAGAGATTTGACTACAATTTAATTCTTGAACCATAGGACAACCGCTTCAAGAATTGGAGTACACAGCACATGTCACTAGTGGACCAGTCTGATTGATTGTGGCCATCTCCAGAACACTTCCTTGGTCTAGTCCTGCATCCATGGAGATATACAAGATAAATACTTCTATATGAAGTTTACATTTGTACCCAGAACCATCTGTGGAAGTAAACTGGGTATATTAAAACAAGCCAGAGTACAGTACAGTTAGGTAGTAGGTGATATGTCTGAACCATAGTAAGCTCCAAGTGCTTGTTCATTTAACCAGTAAAATTGCATCCACACTAGAAAGATTTCACAGTTTTAATTATGGTTTTGGATTAATTAAAGCAGTAAAACTTTCTAATGTAGATGAGCCCTTGTTCATCTCATTTCTTTGCTTCCAGCATGCAGCCTATTGGATTTGCAGTGGAATTTAGATGCCCTTATTTTATCATTTTACATAGAGCTTAGGGCTCATAATGACTTCATCCAGTCTTGTGTTAACTCTTGCCTTGCTATTTTCACTTCATGACTGCACGCTTATTATAAATCAGCTCACACTATAGCTTCTCTTGCAATCACATTTTCTTGGGTTCTGTGGCTTTCAGGCATGGAGGGGTTTTATTAGCAAATTTGGTACAGTACAATCAGCATGACACTTGAAATGGTCTTACTTATCCTCTGATTATGACCCCTAGATGGCTGCTATGCACACAGGTGCTCAGATACCTCTTCTGCAGTAACAGGATTTGCATTCTGTCCACACCAGCAGTTTTACTGAGGCGATGAATATGATGGATGGTCCTTACATGTAGGGCCAGTGGTGTCAGCATATTTATACAGCTTCTGGGTTTCAGTCTTTTTTTTTCTTTCCCCATTTGGCCCACATAGGGAGGTTCTGAAAAAGATAACAAGGGTCAGGTAGATCAAAGGTGAGAGTGCAAGATAGAGAAGAACAGTAATCTATGCTGTATATGTGAGGAGGTACTAGTAAAGGTATATGAAGTGGTAATGTATTGTGTATTTGCTTATCTTCAGTGGGCTGCTGTTTTCCATGTTTACCATCATACTTAAAGGCCCTGTCCAATTAGGAATATGGGAAACAACATTTTTGCTTCACCCTATTGTATCAATGAGTAGCATAAAATAATTGTTCAGGTCACGGCCTGGTACTGAAGCAGTCTCTGTGCCTCTCTGGAAAGGCTTCCCATTTCCATAAGAGGCAGGCACTGGAGTTGGAATGGCAATCCCAAGAGTTCAAAGTTTATGATTAAGGTCTACAACTGGATTAAAATCAAAAAATCTTAAAATGCATAATTCTCTTTTGCTTGGACCTTTGGGACACATATTTTGCTACTTTTAAGTATTTTCTCTAGCATCATGAAAACTTTCCTTTCTTTAAAAAGGAAAGTTAATATTTTCATAAAATACTCTACTTGGAGACTCAGTAAATTACATGAGGCTTCCTCTTCGGTCACAAAACTGTGCAAATTATTGAAGCATTAAAATAGTTTTAAAAATCTGAACAGTAGTACTGTGAAGTACTACCAGTCACAGTAAGTATTTCTACATTTTAATGGTACAGACAGCTAGTTTGCAACCTGAAATCACTGGCCTAGCTGTATGCTTGCTTTTGTGCTGTGTGTCAGTGGAAGAGTGAAACACAACTCTGCCCTCTGTTAACGTGCTTGTACTAAAAACCTGTGGACTTCTTCAGAATGATATAATATGCATGTGCTGGTTCCTGCTATTAGTTCCTGAGGCTATACTGAGACACTGAAGTGTTTAATGTGTGCATATGTTTGTCTGAGACTTGCTGAGAAATAAATGAGTAGTTTTGATCCTGGATGGTTATAGACCTTCACAGGGAAGTACTGTAGCCTTAATTTATGTTATGTTCATAGTTTAGTAACAGTTGCTGATTGTCACTCAGTAAAAATGAAAGGGAAAATAGAATTTAAATCATGTATTGATTATTAAAAAAAAAAAAACAACAGCCAACCAAACTCTAAAAAATCAACACCACCAGCAGCAAACCCCTCTCCCTTGTAAATATGTTTGGATTTAAAAGACAGTGCATTAATTATTTATCCATCTATGCCTCACCAGACCCAGGAGAATCATAACTGATTTGCAGGATACAGCAGCTCAGGCCTTTTGCATCCTTGGGGAGCACCACAGATTTCTCCCAGGGAAAGAAGCAATCACAGGAAGCACTCAGAGGCAAAGTCAAGCCTGTGAGCAGGCGAGTGAACCCAAACCATATTCAGGTTTTTGTTCTAAATGGGCTCTCTCGGTTAGAAATGTATGTGGCTGATGTTGCTGGCAGGAGCTAAAGGTACTGCAGTATTGCAATTTTAGCCAGCAAAATTGAAGAGTAGCTCCAGCCAAGTCACTTCCACAAGCTCTGCAAAAATGTGCCAGAGATAGCCTTTAGCTTTTAATAGCAGAGCTCCCAATATTAATGATACACAGGATTAAAATGTGGGAAATCTTTCTGATTCCAAGAAGGTGGACAGTCTTGTATCAGCATATAATGATTTTGGAGGCTATTTTTAGTCTTCAGTTCATAAATAGAATGTGACAAAAGGTCAGTCTGGCACGTATGGTTCATTTACTGTTAAACCATACAAAGAACCTTGTCATAGCTGGGATTTATAATAACTGAAATCCAATGGATGAGTGGGTACAGAGAATTAACATTCATAATCTGAATGTTGCATTTGAATGTTATTGAAAACAATTATAATTATTTGAATCACTAAACTGTATTTACATGTTTTGAGTTTTCCCTTTGGGATAGTTCTCTGATTTTCTAACACACGTCACTGGCTGGTAGATATTAGGCTGCAGTTAATAGCTTTGCATTACATGGCAACATTATTTCAAGTACCTGAATGTAGAAGCAGCAAAAAACCCACATCATCGGTTGTAGCTGTGGTCAAATCAGTACATTCATACAAAATAAGGAGAAAATGAATGTTATTCTGTGAAAGCTCTAGTTAGAAAAATGTCTCTTATAAGAAGGAGCAGACTTAACAGTCTGCAGCAAAAACACAGAAGTGAAGAGCATTGTGACACTGTAAGGGACGTGAGGGATGTTGTCAAAATACCCTGTGTCCCTCTAAGGAGAAACAGGATTTACTCCATGATAATGCTCTTCTTCAGGAAATAGAATAACACCTGTAAATAGATAAACATCTAGGAGAGAACTGATCCAGGCACCAAAGTCTGAGTCAGAGTCAACCTTTTTATAACCATTTCTCTGCCTGCTGCAGAGGCTGGCAAAGCTCTGAGCTTTTGTGTACAGGACTATTCATGGCCAGTTTGTTTAAGCATAAATGGTACTTGTGATTTCTGGGCTTGTTCTTCCAGGTGGAGGGGATGTAGCAAGCTACAAGACGGAGGGAGGACTGGAAAGGCTATTTGTGCTGCAGGCTGAGGGGACCTGGGCGAAAGCCTGGGAAGTGGCTGCTGGTAGAGGGGTCACCCTCCAGCTCTTGTGCAAAGTGAGCTTTGGGAACATGAGACTGCAAAACAAAAAGCCATATGGGAGGACTAGCTATGGGCATTACTGCTTCACTTAACAGGTTCATTCCAAGAAATAGAACCAGTAACTGAAATACCAGCAGCAGTTAAATATCAAAACCAGCATGAGCTGAAAGATGAAATACTGTGCAGCAGTGCTTGCTGTGAGGGAACAAACTGCTACAAGTATCTTCATTTGTGCCTTGCCTTTCTTTTGCTGACATGTGTGACCGTTATGTCTTTTGACATATACTTTCTTGTTTGTCGTCTTTCTTTGAAGTTTCATGCAGGTTTTTTTAACACTGGGAACAGAATTGCTGCAGACAGAAAGGAGGCTCTGATAATCAGGCTGCTGTTTCAGAGGACAAACTCTTGAGCATCTCTTTGTAAGGACTTAGCAGGGTAGGCCTTGTAGCTGTAGTAGGAAACACCATTTGTTTCCTTAGTATTGTGATGGATGGTATCAACAGTGGGCTCCTCTAAACTAAGAAAACAGGTCTTTCTCATACTGCAATCATCAGAGCACTCCCAAGGTAGGACTCTGCTGCTTTAATTTAGACATCTGCAGGACAGACATCTCTAGCTCAGCTGGGCATATAGAGGCCTTTTATGGTCCATGGAGAGAAATAGGGAATGATTTGTCTTATTGTATAGTAAATGTCTAAAGTGCTATGCTAGTCATGCTGTAGAAATGCCTATGTCTCTCTAAGGACTATTAAGATGTTGTAGATAACTAGTTGAAGATCCTCGATTTTACTTGTCTGTAGGCAGGTGAGATGAGACCCTTTTCACAGCCCTCAAGTAAAATGGTGAGACAACTGTTCTGCAGACAGCATCGAAGCCACGTGTGCCCAGGGGTTGCCATCTCAACACTGCCCCTTCCCACAATGTCCTTTCCTGCGTGTTCTGTTTCAGCTTCCTTGCATGTCACCTCCTCTGGGCCTGCTGCCTGCATGTGGTGTGGCTTTCAGTCTCCTTGAGATTCCCTGTGTGTAAGAAAATTGCTCGCTGTCCCTTCAGGGCCTCTGTGTACCTGCTTTAACCTAATGATTTGTACACATATCTGAAGACCATGCATAGGGAGCCTCCATAGGATGTGATCCAGTTTCCAGGATTTGATTGTGGTCAGTATAAATCTATCTACCAGGTTTTTAATAAATTCTGATGACTGCACAGTACTTAGCTGAAACCTAAACCAAGCAGAAAAGGCCCTCTTCCTTCTCATGGACTAGCTTGAGGCTACTGTTTCCATCTCAGTCTCAAGGTGTTTCTCTTAAGTTTGTTTATAGAGGAGACAAGTGCTGAGGTTAGTTTTCTGTTCCTCTGTACCACACAGCCATTTCCCTTAATGAGAACAGGATTCAAACTGTTCCACAGTCAAAATGAAGACTCAAGATAGAAATTATGGGCCAGATTAAGTTCTAATTTGCATTAAATTCTGGATGAAGTGCCCCACCTTCTCTTTTCACTCATACTAGCTCCATTTCAGTGTGGCTTTAGGGTTTCCTCTGTCCTGCTTTTGTGTTGTGGATTTGTTCCTTGATTGCAATGTGATTTCAATAATACCCGTAATTGCACAAGTTCCAGTAGCTAACAACGTTAATTGAGGAGCTGGACAGATGGCTCAGGCATCTGATATTAAGCTTACTGTGCTGAAATTATGTAGCCCTCAGGGTTTGAAGTGTTACCATGGGAATGCACTTCCAAACTGCTGGAAGCATTACACAGTGACACTCCAGCAAGGGCTGCTGTGATACTAGCTTTTAAGAGATCAAAAGAGGCAAGAAAGGGTCAGTTTAAAAAAACCCTAGAGAAATACTGTGATATCTTGGCATATTCCAGTTAGCAGCTGTATAATCAACCAAAGGTTCTTTGCACATGCACTCCACTGAGAGCATCAAAATGATGATGAGCCTTTGTTTCTGGAATAAAGTAGAACTGTCATTTTATAACATCCATTGTAGATTTCAATTTGAAATAAAATCTTTCTGGTCTTGTGAACTCTCTGTTCATCTCTCTGGAAAGACTTCCCAGTGGCTTTCAGAAGAAGATGGTTTGTTAGCTAAGATTGAGCTGCTATTCCAGTAAGATACATAATTGTTCAGATTTCTGTAGGTAACGGAACTGAGAAGTAGGAGAGATGGCTCAAGCATCTTGAAGTTTGCAGTGTTGAAATGATGTAGACACGGGCCTCAGAGCAGCATACAGCTCCTCCTACTTTGTATGATTTTGGGCAAGTCCTTTTATTTCTTCATAGCAGAATAATTGAAATTCAAGCCAGTACATTTTACCCTATGATTTGAGCAGGCTGAGGACATGCTAGCTACCGTGCTGACAGAAGGAATTCCTCACATGGTTACATTCAAGAGCATGTCCAGACAAGGGAGCAGAAGCTAAATGAGGGTCCCAAGCCCTTCTCCATTATGCTACACTGCCACAGCTGCTTCCATGGGGAAAACAAAGGATTTATGTGTTGTTGAGTGGCAAGTTTCAGAAGAGGGAATCACTGAAGTCTGTTCCTGCATGCTCTACCGCCTTTCCCTTCCACTTCTCACGTAAAGGACAATTTCTGCTCAGGGTACACCGAGCTGGGTGTCCCTTAATCCCCGTAAGGATGCTG